ACAAAATCTGAGCACTGTCTAGGTGCATAGCCATGTGGGCTCACTCCCTGAATACTTAGAAGTGCAAGTTGTTAGGCTGGAAAGGGAGGAATCTCTGAGTAATTGCTTTATTCATTTATTGTTTTGAAATGAAAGTAGAAGCAGGTGCCATTGGCACCTTCAACAACATGAAGCTTCATGGAACACTGTCGCTAACACTGGTTGGGAACTAAGAAATGAAGCACTGTGCCTCTTGATGTGTTAGCAAGCGTCCTCAATCCTGATCGCCCTCCCTAGACCATTAACCAGAACCTTCAGCAGAAGCTTCCAGTGTCAGGACTGAGTGCTTCAGGTGATTTAAACACGTAGCCAGGGTTGAGAACCACGGTCACAACCCAAAGGGATGGATTGGACACTGTGACGATATTAGTAGGGGGAAAATTTGGGGGGCAAGTAGGTCTTTCTTGGATGTGAAGTGCCATTATAGGATCCTGGTCATCTCCCCTAGGCCTGCCACTGCCTCAGTGTCCACAGTGGTGTGGATTGGCTTAAGGAAACCACACATCTCCCCCAAAAAAATGTTGCCTGAGGATTTTGGAAACTTACCTTTTAGAGATCACAGATTTGCAAATGAAGGCTTCATGGAGGCTCACACACACATCACTGAGCAGCACCCTTGCCATGTTCCCCACAACCCCAATGTGGAAGAACTCTCCCGATTCTGTTTCACTAGAGGAGATCGCAGGGGGTCCACACTGGCTCTGTGCTGTGCTGAGCACTGAGAACACACTGATGAAGAGGGTGCACCACCCTCTCCCCTGTCTCAGAGGAAACCCCATCCCGTTGAGGACAGACAAGCAAATCAAGGATTACAGCTGGTTGTGATAAAAGCTGTAATGGGGCACCAGTAGTGAGCTGGGGGATCGATATCTGGATCCTACAGAACCTCACCACTGCCTTGGATCCAAAAGTTATAAGGACAAAGACCGGCATTTGGGTCATTTCTCCTTCCTCATAGACGTGGATATACTATATATTACATAACATACATTTCTCATATATATCTACATATGTATGTATGTGCAGATGTGTATATACATATATAGCTTGTGTTGTCTGCAGAACAGTTAAACAACCACAAAATATTCCACTGAAAATTTTTTCCACTGCAAATGATGAGCTTATTTCAAATTGTCCTTAAATGTGTCATCTCTGAGGGCACCTGGGTGGCTCGGTTGAGCGTCCGACTTCGGCTCAGGTCATGATCTCGCGGTTTGTGAGTTCGAGCCCCATGTCGGACTCTGTGCTAACAGCTCAGAGCCTGGAGCCTGCTTGGATTCTGTGTCTCCTCCTCTCTCTGCCCTCCCATGCTCACGCTCTGTCTCTGTCTCTCAATAATAAATGTGTTAAAAAAACCAAATGTGTCATCTCTGGAGCAGAGAGCTAGTGAGAGGAGAGCTAGATAAGTAAGTAGGGGCTAACTGTGGGAGGCTTTGCATGTCAGGCTGGACATTGTCTACAAACTTTACTCTGAATATTAGGAAGAGCTGGCAGGAGTTTGTGTGTATGTGTATGTGTATATGTGTGTGTGTGTGATGTGCATGTTGAAGGTGTGTGTGTTAGGTGTGTGTGTTACATGTGTGTGTTTGTGTTCAGTTGGGTGTTGGGTCTATGTGTGTGTTGGGTGAGTGTTGGGTATATGTGCTGAGTGTGTGTGTGTTGGGTGAGTGTGCTGGATGTGAATGTGTTAGATATGTGTATGTTGGGCAGATGTGTTGAGCGTGTGTGTATTGGGTGAATATGTTGGATGTGTGTTTTAGGTGTGTGTGTGTTGGGTTTGTGTACATGCACAGGCACATGTATGTTAGGGGCATACGTGATAGGAGTAGACCTATCTGATGCCTGGTAGTAGCACATAGGAGGCATTGTTGGGGGGATAGTCTTTAGGGGTTTGTAGGATACATTGTCCAGGACAGTCTCTGGTTGGGGACAGGGAGAGCTGGAAGGGGGCTGTTGGCTAGTTAGAAAGTACCAGAGGAAACAGGAGGAAAGGGCTGGGATAAGAAACATGGAAAAGGGGCTGGTGTCAGAATTTGACACTAACTAGATGTGGGGACCCAGGAATGGATAATGTGACTATGAGCTGTGCTTACCACCGTGATGATGCCTCTAAAGGAAGTGGGAAGCACAGGAGGGAACTGGGGAGAAGCCTTGGTCTCGTGCGTGGCTTGGCTGAGCTCTAACTCAGCACTGAAATTTTTTGCTCAAGGGGCCATGAAACTCAAGACACTAGTTAGAATATTGTGGAAGAGAGAGGAATGGAGCAAGGAAATGTTTGGGTAGGGGCAGGAGGGGCATTAGGTGAGGTGACAGGCCTGGCTGGAATGGCAGCTGTTCCAAGCAGCATAAGCAGCATGTCCCTGAGCTCTCGGACCTGCTGTCTGGCCAGGTCTGTGTCCCAGGCAAGCACGGTGTCCTTTGAATGTGGATGGAGATAGTAGTTAGGACTTGGAAATGGCGGAGAAACTCTAAAGAGAACATGGAAAGCTGCAAAGCGTCCCTGGGAACCGCCAAGGACAATACAGAGCTGCGTGTTAATCAGCCTCCTCCACCCAATAGTCCCTGTCAGAGGAATTTTCTGTGGAGTCCATGCAAACCTCCTGGAAGGTGAGTCGAGCCCACGAAACAGTGCATGGGCTCTTTCCTTCTCCGTGTGACATGGCCAGGCCCTGAAGCAGCTGGTGGTAAAGCTTCTTTTCAAGGTCTGCGGGGTGGTCAGTGTGAATGTCAGGGAATGCCCTGGGCCCCTCCTCTCAAGGGACTTCCCTTCTTGCCATGTGCTGTTTTGTTCAACAGCAGGATTCAGGAGGGAGCCTTTTTAAGTCACTGCTTTTCTCCTCCAAATCAATAGATCAATAAGTGACAATTGCCAGCAAAGCTGGAAGAAACCGTTTTTCTGACACCCGTAGGACCTGTCTCCCTGCTGAAAGCTAGTCCAGAACATGGCTTTTTTGGGTTCCTTTTTCCCACTGCTAACATGTCATTTTCATGCAGCAGCTTGAAGTTCCTTCTAAGAAAACAAATGCGATGAAATCAGCAAGGATGTGTAGCTACACGCATCGCTAAATGCTGATAGACTGTCCGCGTGCCAAAGCGTAAGTAAGCTCATCTCATCTGTCGCCGCCTGCTCGAGATGAAAATATAGCCCCTTCTTTACCAGAAAAGCAGTGTGTGTTTAAGTTAACCCAGTTCAGCCTCCAGTAAGGGAATCTCAACTTCCATTCCCTCTCTCATAACTGAAATCCATGTCTACTTTTCAAACCACATTCACATTAACTTGTTATTTTTATACAACAATCAAGGCATGAACCTCTCAAAGTTTGGGAGTGTGTGTGTGTGTGTGTGTGTGTGTGTGTGTGGCCTATTCTTCATGCGTCCAAGGATACTTTATCTCTCAAATTTTCCATAGCTATGAACACCCACAGTCCTGCTCTGCTAACCAAACTGAGATTTGGATGATCGATATAAGGCCTGGAAATGCATATTTCTGTAAGCTGTAGCATTGATCACTGGGTACAATGTTATTCTGCTCACACCCACAATGGCTCCCAGCCCCCCAGTCTCCTTGGCTGTGTAAAAATTAGCATGAAAGGCAATATCACAGCGCTTGAAAACTTGCACTGATTCCTGCCCTAATTAATCCTGAAACCTTTACTGTTCTCTGCTTCAAATCCTGCATGTCCAAACCAGCCTGAACTTACTCAGGGTGTCTGCATATGAAGGTAAACAGCGATGATCTCCTTCTAAAAATGCTAAGTACGCATCATTTCTGTGTTGCTGGAAAAAAAAAACAACAAAACCTTCCCTTCTGAAATTACCTGAAAAAGAAGTCTGCATGTGATACAGGCGGCCTCTCTGGAGGGTTGGCTCAGACAGGACAACAGTCTGCCCTTTGGCCAGACTGGTCAGCTCCTTCCAATACTTTGCTGCTCTGATTCCAAAAAGCACGTGTCAGAGACTCCCAGGTGTGTGCCCTGCAGAAATCTTTCCAAAGCTGTGTGCAAGCCATTCCTCATGGTCACAGAGCCAAGAGCACTTTTATGCCCCGGGGAGGCCGCCGCCCAGGTTTGCTTATTGCCAGGGCCGTCTTACCCTTGTCCTGGAGTGGGTGAGCACCTGAAACTCATCCGCCAGTGCCCAGGCTGGAATCGCCGCAAAAGGCCCCCTGAGAGGCTCAGGCCAGCGTATTCTGGACCTGTGGTTCTCCTGGAAGTCATTGTAGTCTCTTTTTTGTTTATTCTTACCTGAAGCTACCAAAACAAATGGAGTTTTTATGACAAAATATATAACATGCAAGGTATGGCCACCAAAGGATCAGAAAGGGCACTTCTTGAGGACAGTTTCCAGAGGCTCTGTACTGTGCTGGGGGCTACCCAATACATGTTGGCTCATGGGGAGATCTGGGGGTGCTGGGGATGCTGGAGGAGAGACCAGTGAGGCCAGGGCTCTGAAGCAGACTTAGGGGGGTGCGGGGACTAGAGCTGATTACCAACCAGTCTGAAAGCACTGCAGTGTTTTTTTTTTAAATGTTTGTTTATTTATTTATTTATTTTGAGATGAGAGAGAGTTGGGGGGTGGCAAAGAGAGGGAGAGAGAGAAAGAGTGAGAGAGTGGTGAAGGGACAGAGAGAGAGAGAGAGAGAATCCCAAGCAGGCTGCATGCCGTCAGTGCAGAGCCGGATAAGGCGCTGGAGCCCATGAATTGCCAGATCATGACCTGAGAGTTGAAATCAAGAGCCAGAAACCAACCAATTGAGCCACCCAGGTGCCCTAACAGCATGCAGTGTTGTAAAAAAATCTCTATGGCCTTACTGGAACATGGTGGGACATTTCAGCCCCGATTGCTAATCTAGCAGTTCCCTTTACTCCTGACCCACTTGCATTAGAAAAGGTGTTTCCTGAGCGACTGAAATGATCCAGGGGTTCTGCACAGTGCTTGAAGATGAATGAACATTCCCTTACCTGCACCCACACCAAGCCAGGGCGGAAGGCACTCCTCGCTCACACAGCAGGCACTGAGTGCCAAGTAGAGACCAAGCTCCTTAGGTCGTGGCCACACCCTGAAGTGATGGCAGATGGTAGAAAGAGACGGCACGGCTCCCTACAGACAAAGCCCAGGGCTGCGTGATGAGATCAGAAGCTTCCTGGAGTAGATCATTTGAAGAGGCCCTGGGTGGACCAGCCGGTGGGAAATGGAAGGCAGAACGTTGCAGAGAGGGTGAATTTTCCCAGAGTGGAAGAAGTAAAGGTCACATTGTGGAACAGCTTAGAAACCCATACACTTGGAGTGTGAGGTAGATGGGTAGGGTGAGAACAAGGCTGAGGACTTGTGCTGGAGACAACCCAGGAAGGGTTTGTGTAGCTTTTTAGAGACCTTTTCCAATTTTTTTTATTGTGGTAAAATTCACATAACATAAAATTTACTATCTTCACCATTTTTAAGTGTACAGTTCAGCAGTATTAAATACATTCATGTTGTTGTGCAACCACCACCATATCTACCTCCAGAACCCTTCTCATCTTGTAAAACTGAAACTCTGACCCCGTTAGATACTAACCCCAGGTACCCACCCTTCAGTTGTCTGTCTCTATGAATCTGATGACTCTGGAGAATCTCATGGAAGTGAATTCTATTGATCCTTTTGTGTCTGGTTTATTTAATTCAGCATAATGTCCTTAAGGTTCATCTGTGTTGTAGCATGTATCAGAGTTTCCTTCCTTTTTAAGGCTGAAGAATATTCCATGGTATCTATAGACCACATTTTGTTTCCTATCCTTCTGTCAGTGGACACTTGGGCTGTTTCCACATTTTAGCTTTGTGAATAATGCTGCTGTGAACATGGGGCTACAAACATCTGCTCGAGACCCTGCTTCCAGTGCTTCTGGATATACCAGAATGGATATATTCTGGATGTGGATTCTTGGATGTGGAATTGCCAGCTCGGATGATAATTCCACGCTTAATTTTTTAAGGAACCATCAAACCATTTCCCACAGTGGCTGCGCCATTTTGCATTCCCATCAACAGCGCACAAGAGCTCCAATTTCTCCACATCCTCGCCAACACTTGTTTTCTGTGTTTTGGTACTGGCCAGCCTAAAGGGTGTGAGGTGGTATCTCATTTCGGTTTTGATTTGCATTTCCTTAGTGATTAGTGTAGACACTTTTTAGCTTCTCCCCATTTTATTCATTACAAATCCACAGGAGAGTTGGAAGAGTAGCATGAATATCTAGATTCAGTGATTATTGATCTACTGAGTATAAGCTACAGCTTCTGTGACACCTCACCCCTGAACACTTCAGCGTGCATCGTTCTAGAGAATTTGAACCTTGTTTCATTTGTAGAGGGGTAATTGTCTAATGTCCTTCACTACTGCAGACAGTGGGGAAAAAATTTATGCAGCGGAGAGATATTTGCAATCGGGAGAGCAGCAAAGAGGCCATTGGGATGATCCAGACCAGAGGTGCTGCTGAGGGCTGCTCAAAGTCAGGTGGGAAAGGGGAGAAGTGGAGTAACACTCAGGTTTCCTGCCAGGGTGATGGGAAGCCAGGGTACCAGTCTCTGACAGAGGCCAAAGGGAGAAGAAGCAGGTTGGGGAGGAAAAATGATGATTGCAGTTTGGCATATGTTGGTTTCGAGGTATCTGAGGACATTTGGGAGAAGGTTAGATGCAAGGATCTGGATGCCAGTCCGTAACTGAGGGACATAAAGCCTTAAGTCCTGCATGATCAGACACAGAGGTGCATTGGATAGGATGCCTGTGGATTCTTGCTCCTCTGGACAGGCAGCAGTTAGACGGTCAGTGAACAGACAGCTGGATGACAGGAGGCAGGTCTTGCGCATTAGGGAGGATTTCTCAAGAGGAAGTAATTAAATGATACAGCAGTAACAGCTGGCAGGTATCAAGCCCTTCCACTGTGCTCTGCACCGTGCTAACAGAGCCCTGCACGTTATCGTGTTTCCTCTCCGAGACATGCATCTACTACTCTTATGATTCTAACTCTATAGATGAGGAAACTGAGGCTTAGTGAGATCTGGCATTGCGACCAAGGTCATAAGGCAAATATGTGGATAAAACTTAAGCATTAATTCCCTGGTTTAATTAACGATCCCCCAAAACCTCTCTTCGAGGAAGTGTTCCTATAGTGACCTGCGCATTTCTCCAGCTGCCTTGTTGTACCCCTGGCTTTTTAATGCTGGTCACTCTTTGCAAATGTCGCCTAGAGCTGAGCTAGCCTCCCTACAGCTTTTTCTTTTATTAAAAAAAATTTTTTTTTTATGTTTATTTATTTTTGAGAGAGAGAGAGAGACAGAGTGCAAGCAGGGGAGGGGCAGAGAGAGAGGGAGACACAGAATCCAAAGCAGGCTCCTGGCTCTGAGCTGTCAGCACAGAGCCCGACACACGGGGCTTAAACTCACTCATGAGATCATGATTTGAGCCCAAGTCTGATGCTTAAACCCCTGAGTCACCCAGGCACCCCTTCCCCCGTCCCTGCCCCCTGCCACAGCTTTTTATACAAAAAGTCCTGCACAAGGGCATTCATTTCCCCCAATACTTTCACAGTATGAGGCCATCTGGGCCTCAATATCTTGTCAACTCTGAGAAAGGGCATTCTCGCACATCTAAACGGCTCTGTGGTACAACTGCGTCACCACAAATACACACTGGGAAGCCTGCAGCCAGGGTCTTGTATTGTAAATCATTTCCTGAATGATTCAGGAAGAAGTGCTCGCTCATCCTCCCAGGAGGCAGCAGCTTGACACTGCTGTGAGCTCTTTATAAACGAGTCGTCTGGAACCAAGCTGAGGTAGCCTTTGTCTCGAGCAACAGATGTGTCGGACAAGACCTCGGTGGCCAGTAAGAGAAACGTGCACATCATGAAGGTCTCGTGGGTGCCGTGTGCACTTTGTCCTGACCAAACAAAGGCATGTTCTAATCTTGTTATTCTGCCCAAGGACACAGGGTGATGTGGCAGCAGGGAGTGACCGTACATCTGGTCTGTCCAGGTCAGCTCCAGTCTATGCCGTGGTCCCAACTTGGAAAGTAACAGTATATTTTTCTCTTTTTGCTCTAATAAGTTTTCCCATCTTAAGTGATTTCAGAGGAGGGACGGATTTCCTGTCCAAAGCCTCCAAGCCACCCTCTTCCCAGACTTGGAAAATAGCGGGCCAGATCAGTCTCCCAAGGTAAGAACACCCGTAGCCCTCACTTTGGGCTAACTATGAGACTGTGGCCACAGATTGTCAGTCTGTGGCTATGTAAAAGAACGAAGTCAATTCCCCAGAATAAATAGGGACAAGTTTGTGGATGTGACTTTGTGGTCCAGGAGGCTTAGTAGAGACTTAATCACCTGATGGTGGGGCCCCAAATACACACCTGCACTGGAGAAGACCTCAGTGATCAGACTCTTCAAATGAGGCCCGGATGGGGGTGCTGTCTGCCATCAGCAAGAGAATGGAGACCTTCCAATCCCGGGTTTTCCTGCTGTGCAGCCCTGCCTGCAGGAAATGCCCTCCTGTGGTGTGCTGGCTGCCTGAGCCACCCCAGAGGGCCTGACCATCTTTGGAGGACAAGGCAAGAACAATAGCTGCCCCATCAAAAGTGACAGGTGTGTGCCTGCCAGCTACAGGACATCCCACTTCTTCTCACCAAACCCTGCCCCCCACCTTTCAGTGGACCATGCATTCCGTTTGTACACTTGTGTGGTACTTTTTGCAAATCAGGGTGCAGATTCGGGTTTTGAGGGAAGGAACAGAGATGCCTGATTCCAGCCCCACCTCAGCTTCCCAAAAACTCACTCTCAGGTTCCACAGAAGCAGGTTTGAATGTCACTACCACGTAGCACAGTAGCATGGGCTCAGTTCCAGTCAGACTTTCTGCACAATTAACATCCTATTTTCTAATAAATTAGGCGCCTTGCCTTTGGTGGTCCCTACCAACAGATGTGAGTGCCCCAGCATGTGCTACAATGCCTTCCCTCCTCCTGCCCTCCCTGGACATTTCAAAAGGATTCCATCTGGTATTCAGCATCTTTTTGTTTGTTCTTTGTATAAGTGTGTTCTATGATGAAATGAAGGGGTAGGCTTCCTGATCACATGGTCTTCCTGACTTCCACAGTCCTCCATCCTTTCTGGATTAATGCATGTAAGTATTTCCATGTTTTCCTGTAACTACATCGTGGTGCCTGGATTCTCAGTCTGTGTGTGGCTGCACCCAGCTCCCAGCACTCACCATGCTCCATGGCCAGTCTGTGAAAGACACACGGGAACATGAATCAGCAGGTGGCAGCTTCCCTCTTGGGTGGAGGTCCTCACAGGTGTATCCCCAGGGTTAGGGGTGAGGGCCTGCTCCCCGACAAGGTGGAAATACATGAGCATTTCTCTGCAAGTAGCTGAGCCAGGGCTGCTGAATGTTTTATTCCTCTTTCTGATGGGCAGCATTCTTTCTTACTGAGTCACAATTAGGGGCACTGGGGTGGTTCAGTCAGTTGAGTGTCCGACTTCAGCTCAGGTCATGATTTCATGGCTCTGAATTTAAGCCCCGCATCGGGCTCTCTGCTGACAGCTCAGAGCCTGGAGCCTGCTTTGGTTTCTGTGTCTCCCCCTCTTTCTGCCTCTCCCCTGCTCTCACTGTGTCTCTCTCTCTCTCTTAAAAATGAATAAACATTTAAAAAAAAAAAGAGGGGCGCCTGGGTGGCGCAGTCGGTTAAGCGTCCGACTTCAGCCAGGTCACGATCTCGCGGTCTGTGAGTTCGAGCCCCGCATCAGGCTCTGGGCTGATGGCTCAGAGCCTGGAGCCTGTTTCCGATTCTGTGTCTCCCTCTCTCTCTGCCCCTCCCCCGCTCATGCTCTGTCTCTCTCTGTCCCAAAAATAAAATATAAAAAAAAAAAAAAAAAAAAAAAAAAAAAAAAAAAAAAAAAAAAAAAAAAAAAAAAAAGAAACGCTCAGATGACCATGTCTATAGGTTTGCAGTTATAGCCTCACATTAGAATCACCTGGGAAATTTTAAAAATCCCTGTGCCCAGACTCTATCCCATACAAAATAAATCAGAATCTCTGGGCACCAATACTTAAAAATTCCCCAGGTGACACCAGTGGGCAGCCATGCTTGATAACCTCTATAATAGCACTTCCCAAACTTGAATGTGTATCAGATCATCAGGGCATCCGATTAAAATGCAGGTTCTGAATTAGTAGGTCTGGGGAGGGACCTGGGATTCTGCATTTCTGACATGCTCTCAGATGATCTGGATGCTGCTGGTCTGGAGAGCACACTTAACAAGGGTCTATAATAGGGTTTGGTAAAGCATGGCTCCCAGGCCAGATGCCTATTTTTGTAATTAGAGTTTTATTGGGGGACACTCATGCCAAGCTGGGTAGTTCTAACAGACTATATGACACAAAAGAAAGCCTAAAACATTTGCCATGTGACTCTTTATAGAAAAAATGTGCTGACATCTGGTTTATAACAGGTTAATGCCAGCATATATGTCATGAATGGGATGACCTTGGTCTGTAGGCCATTCTCATTATCAGATGAGGGTGAATCAGAGGGTCTCACAAGAGGGCCATGGTGAATTTTGAAGTCCCAGCAAGTATTAGCTCTTCTGACCTCCTTTTGAAGCTTTCAGATTTGGTTTACAATTTTGGTAATGAAAATTGTTTTTTGTATGTAACACCTATTGCAAAAAAGGAAGGATAATTTGTACTCCTTTGAACATTCTTTGGATAATATCTTTTTTTAATGTTTATTTTATTTTTGAGAGAGAGAGAGCACGAGTGAGGGAGATGCAGGGGCGGGGCAGAGGATCTGAAGCAGGCTCCACACTGACAGCAGAGAGCCCCATATGGGGCTCAAACTCATGAACCGTGAGATCATGACCTGAGCTGAAGTCAGACACACTCAACCGACTGAGCCACCCAGGTGCCCCTGGCTAATGTCTTAAGCTGTCCATAAAATTCTAATGGATTACTGCCATTTTTTTTTAATTTGAAAATTATACAAGTAATACATGTTTGTTGAGATATATATATATATACACATATGTATATATATGTATTCTGAAATATAGTCTGAAAATCCAGAAATAATCACTATGATGTTTTAATGTATAACCTTTCAGGTCTTTTCTATATATACATATACCACATGCCATAGGGTAAACTGAGGCTATAACATCGGTTTTCTCATCTCTAATGTGGGGAGAATAATAATACCTGTGTGAGATCATTGAATGTTTTTACTGGTCTCTGTCCTCAGGTCCTGAATCCTTCACCTGTGGGATCTGACACTTTCTGGGTGGGTAGTGTCAGAATTGAATTAACGTGTGGGACACTCAGCTGGTGTCACAGAATTGCTTGCTGTGGGGAAACACCCCACCATGTTTGGTGACCAGAAGTGTTAGAGGTGTGAGTGTTCTGTGTGAACGTGGTCGTGGTGTAAAAGTAGAGGGAACACCCAGGAGAAACACAGAACAGAAAAGACATCATAGGAGGAACTGGATTTTTCCCTACACAAGAAGGAAAAAAACAGGTTTTTCTTAAAACCTGCCTCACGGGGTTGTTGGTAGGATTAAATGAGATCATGTCTATAACGTGCTGAGCTCATGTTAATAGTTCACTATAGGTTACATTTTGGAAATGGATTCTACCGATGTATAAACCAAGCTGGGGGTGGGGTGGGGGCCATACAGTTGGCAAACTTCATTTCCACATCACCCTCTGCAGGAGCAAAGTGGGCCCCAAGACCACACCTACCTGAGGTGTGCTCAGGTAGGGATGCTGAGAAGTGCAGAATGGCTGGGCTGGTCAACCCAGCACAAAGCCAGGACTGCAGAGGTTG